CTGGCAGTTCCTCAGGAGGGACAGGGTGACCAGGGGTGACACGTACGCTGCACCCAGCTCCCCGTCACCGGGCTCAGGAAGTTGGGGTACAGCCCCTGTGGCTTCTCCACCCTGTTGAGCACCCTGCGGATGTTCATCACCTGCAGAGAGGAGAGACAGGAGGGGTTAGTGCTGCTGCCAGGGCTGCTGGGCTGCACTCTCACTCCCCAAATCCCCAAATTCCCAATTCCCAAATTCCCCAATTCCCCAGTTCCCTGTGCTGAGCCAGCCCCAGTTCCTGGAATACCAGGAACAGGCACGGCCCAGGACAGGGCTCAGCAGGGAGGGAGATGCTTCCCCCTCTGCACAACCTTTATCCAGCCCTGTGGGGTTGAGAAATGATCCTGGAATCCTGCAAAGGATTCAGTTCACTGCCATGGTCCAGAAGCAATCCTRGGAAAACTTGAACTTCTGATACCTAAAGGGGCTACAGGGAAATGGAGAGGGACTTAACCCAAGGGGGAATGGCCTTAAGGTGGAGGAGGGCAGGGTTAGAYGGGATATTGGGAAGGAATTCTCCCTGTGAGGGTGRGRARGTGCCCAGAGAAGCTGTGGCTGCCYCTGAACCCCTGGCAGTGCCCAAGGCCAGGCTGGACAGGGCTGGGAGCACCCTGGGACAGCAGAAGGTGTCTTCCCCAAGGCAGGGAGAGACTGGGATAAGCTTTAAGTTCCTCCCAACCCAAATCTGGTTCTGTGATTGGGGATCTGGGTGAAAATAGATGTGAGAGATGCCCAGGGTGATTTTTTTCCMTGGTCCAAAGGGAAAGGAGCGGCAGGGATGAGTGACTCACACAGCACTTCAATTCACCGTGTGGTCACTTAGCATGATGAATTGGGGCCTTTAATTTCACCAACAGACAGCTCCTCTAATACCCCAGAACAGCCAGTGCTTAACTCTCCAAAGCCTCCCTTGGTTTCACCCCCATTAAATCCAATAGGCCTTTCCCTTAAGGGACCAAGTTAAATTCCAAGCAGCATAAATATTCYATTATAACCTACAGAGCAGCTAATTCACTCTAAACCTTTTACAAAATCAGACAATTTGCACGCCAAAAGCTGGCTACAGGCTTAAGCTGGGGCTTCCAAGGAAGTTGTCAGGCTCTACAACATTTATTGGAATTTGGGAGATTGGAATATTAATGACAGGTTGGAATAAAAGACACAGATGGACTTTAATTCCTGCTAAAATCACCCGAGTCCCAGGCTGGGAGTTAATGAGTTGATCTGCTCCTCTGCAGTAATTTCCCACAGGATGGGCTCTTAGAGCTCACATCATCCCACATTTCCCCACTCTGAGGGTGTCAGGATGGATGTGATCTGTTTTCTGTGCACACATCAACCCAGGAGAGTCCATTAGAAAGGTTTTGCCCTTTTCCCTCCGTGGGTTTAGGAGGAGAAGAGGAAAATCTATTAGGCTGGGCACAGAGRTTTGACCCTGGCTCAAAATGCCACGGTTTGAACCCAGGATGAGGATGTAAWTCTGGTTTTTAGCAGTGCATCTCCAGTTTGCTCATCTCTCCCCCGCCTTCATTCCCTTTATTTCCTTCACACATTTCCTTTCCAGAGCACTGCTTCCCTCCCTGTGAGCAGTTTGTCATTGTCCCTGTYCTCAGGAAGCTCAGCCTTGTCCCTTCATTTCACATCAGAGCCTCTCTCTGTCTTCCCACAGAGCTCTCTGCGTTTCCTCTTCCCCTCCACGCTCTGCTTTCCCCTCTGGGACATTGCTCTTGCCTGAAAATTCACACAATTTCCCCCACATGAGGAAAAACACCCCAGGAGGACAGAGAGCCCAGAGGGGGGCAACTTGCCTTTTCTGCAAACACCGGGTTGCCCGAGAGCTGCGAGAGGTGCAGGAATTCCAAGTGCAAGGTCCCAAATTCTGCCAAGATGCTGCTTCCAGCAGAGGCCCAGCCCCAGCTCCAGCTCATGCCGCTGCAAGGAGAGAAAAGAGAAGAGTTCAGWGCCGGGAGAGCTCCTGCAGGAGGCTGAACCAGCCCAAAAGCACCGTGGCCACAATTTYCCATCTCCTGGCAGCTGATCCCAGGAGGTGACACGGTGACAATTCCCAGGGACAGCTGCGGTGGCACTAGATGGCGCCGGGAAGCTTGGCAGGGAGAGGAACAAGCGTGTGTTGTTTACAGGAGTTAAAACTTAATGATTCTTCCGAGAAGGAAAGGAAAAAAGCCCGAGTTTGCCGGGCTGCGATGCGCAGAAGAGCACGGCGGGTGCTGAGCTGGGTTTGCTGCGGACACGGCAGAGTGTTCACACTGCTCC